CCTTATTTGTTGATCAAGGATTCCTAAGGGCCATGTTGGCAATTTGCCAGGAGGCTGAGGTACCGTATGGTAGCTAGCTGATAAATTGTGAAGAAGATTGCATCCACTCTCAGTTTCGGTGCACCCATCACAGCAATATGGGAGCTGTAGTTTTTATAGGCTGTATTTCTGTCTAAAAGCAGTGAGGGTAGCCACAGGCCACACTGGAGAACTCTATGTCAGTTCGATGTATGTGACCTGCAGGCAGCACTTTAATCACACCTCCTATAAAATAATTAATTTTAAAACATTTTACGTGGAAGAACATTTACGTGTATTTTGTGAGTTGTTTGATTGGAGGTTCTCATCTCGCAGTGGTGTAAATCAGGAGTTACTCCACCAAAGTTAATGGAGTTACACCAAGGTAAAACTGGTGTAAGTCAGAAAAAAATCAGGCCCACAATGTTTTGATAATGTACAATATTTGCTACTGATGCTTGAAGTGAAGAAGAAAGCACTGTTGTTGCTTTTCAATTAAATTTAAATGTTGTTCAGTTGTTGTAGGAGAGCTGTGTGAATTCTCTGGTGTGCTAATCACATGAAATCAAATCCTGGGGGTTTATTTGGTCACACTAAGGTATGGTATCCTACTTTCACACACTAATTCCGCAAGATGCTTAATCACATGCCTGACTTTAAGCATGTGCAGTAGTCACATTGAGGTCACTGGTAGTGAGGCCATGGTTAAAGTTAGGTATGGGCTTAATTACCTTGTTGAATTGGGATCTTAGTATGGGACTCAAGACATTCTGAGCATTGCATGGTGCTCAGAAAAAGATTGTCAGTTACATCCTACTTATGCTGCTGTATATGTGTCCTTGGGCAATTCTGGTTACATGAGTTCTCACTTTGCGGAGAAAAGAGTACATGTAATCTTTTTTTGTTTGTTTGTTTTCTGTCAAACAAATCTTTCCCTTCAATACACCGCAAGCTGCAAAGGCTTTTTCCATAGAAGGAGCATAATTCGAATGGCCAGACCTATGTCATATGATTCTTTTAATTAAATAATGCTGATACCAAGTTGCACGGGATTTAAGTGCCAAGAAAGATCATTTGGAATTAGGCCCCTAAATATCTTTAAAAATATGACCCTTAGTAACTGATGAAAATAGGATTTAGGCTTCATAATCACTTAAATGCTTTTGAAAATTTTACCCAAGATCTTTTTCCCCATGGCCTGTCAAAATGCAAATACTATAGTAAATATAAAGTACGGGGTTTTTTTGTTTGTTTTGTTTTGTTTTAATTGGTGATGTTTTCTAGGTGTGTGGTATTTAAATGCTGGAAAAGGGAAAAACATTCAGCTTCATTTTCCATATTTTGAGCTGGAAAATATCTATGATGTAGTTGAAATCAGAGATGGAAGAGGAGCAGATTCCTTGTTTTTAGGCAAGTACCACATATTGAATTATAAGATAAATGAAATCAGGGATGATTCTAGCAATCTGATCAACATGATGGAAAAGGAATTAGTCATCTCTATTTTTATCTGTATTTTGGGATGATCCATGATACTTGGGAGTTAACGAGAAGGCATGAGGATATAATTTACTTTATGTGATCCTGTCACGACTTATGCATGTGCTTAACTTTCCACACAGGAGTACTCCCATTGTAGCTCAGCGCACAATTAAGTGTTGACAGGATCAAGGCTTATGTTGCTATATTAATGTGTCAGGTGTGGAATATATACCTTACCTGTTATAAACACCTCAAGGATGTGGGAGGCTTGGGAAATAATTACTACCCATATGTTGCTGTTGCTATCTCTTAATTTGAATATCTTTAATCCTATGGCATCCAAAAACATCTGACAATCCATCTAAATTAAAATCATCTAACCCACCATTGCAATGTATTCATCTTTTCCTTGAGAATAGCTGTCTATACAGGACGAAACCCTGTTCCAGATGTCTTCTCTACCACTAACCAGATGACAGTGCTCTTCATTACTGACAAATCTGGAACTCAGAAAGGATTTCTTGCAAATTTCACTACTGGTTATAATCTTGGCATGCCTGGTGAGTAAAGTACGCAATCTGTTGGATTTAAACAGACACAATTATGCTCTAACAAAGTTAAGATTGTAGAAAAATTGATATGAAATTGGGAATGGCGAAAGCACTATGCAGCACGTCGGTTTAACCTTTGGATTATCTGATCATGGACAGCTGTTGTCACTGTAACATCATTTAAACAGAATATTAAATTTGACCAAATTCTGAACTGTCTAGAACTCTGTGCAGTGCCACTAAATTTAAGGCAAAATTTGACTCAGTATTTTCATGTTTACCATATTTTTTCTTTTTTTTAGAAAAATAAATATATGGAAAGTTACTGACACGTATTAATTATGTTCATGCCCAATAATCAGAATAGTTCTTTGTGAGTCTTTTTGTTCCATCATGGGCTGTATTTAGGCAGATTTTGTAAAATATTTAATGTGGACCTGATAAATTAGAACAGTACACAGTAATTATGGGCCAGATTTTGAAAGATATTTAGGTGCTTAACAGTGCAAATAGGAGATTTTCAGAAGTGCCTAGGCACCCAACTCCCACTTCAAAAGTGTCTAGGTGCCTAACTTCCATTGAAATCAATGGGAGTTAGGATTTTCAAAAGTGCCTAGGCACCTATATGGTGCCTATCTATATTTTAAGGTGCCTTTAAAAATCCTGTCCTTTTTTGTTTACTGGGAATGGGCAAATAACTGCTCTTCCCAACTGTGGTTCAAAAGATTTTGGCAGTGAGCAGCAGCTGAGCTATTTTGAAAATTTGGCCCTAATTTTGGGTGCTGAACATTTGAAAATCTGATCCAAAGAAGTTTTGGAAACCTGGCCCACTGTGTATATAACGTGTATAATTGTTTTAATCAAAATTGTGTCAAAGGCCAGATACGTGTTTGTATGACTCTAACCTGGTATTATATCACTTATTTTACCAAAAGATAAAACAATGGATTCACCTTAAACAAAGGTATAAAATTTCAGCTACCGTAGCCAGAAAGGCAAAGTAAACGGAAGTAAACACGTTTGTCAATAGAATAGGCAATTTTTTTCCATTTCCTTGCTCCCTAATTCGATCTGTAAGCAATGTAATTCAAAAAAATTATATTAACTAGAGAAAACAAATGTAGCCGTATATTCTGAAGGAATGTAACATTCTTCTGGTATGCAGTCAATTGAACTAGATTACACCTAGCTTGGTGCATGCACCCTTTCTTCCTATCCCCCTGCCCCTACGCAATATTTCTCCCCAAACAAGATTGTTTTTTAAAGTGACTCATGATTTGGGGTGCCTCCAGATTTGGGTGCCCAATTTTTGAGATGCCTTAAAGAGGCCTGATTTATGGAAAGTGAAGAGCACCCAGGATCCAAAATCTGTAGTCACTTTTGAAAACCGTGGGGTGAAGTCCTAAACCCATTGAAGTTTTCATTCCTTTCTCACCGCTCAGATGTGTATCGTATTTAACAATAGAAAACCAGTAACTACCATATAGTTGTTTCCATTTAACTTTTGTATAAATTAATTTAAAAAAACCCATGTGTTTCCATAACAATAAGATACCAGTGAAGAGCGAGCCCCTGCTCATTTCATAACTACATTCAGAGTTTTGTCCCTTCAGTTGGGTTGGATGATCTGTGTGATTAGTCTTACTCTGTAATTATGCTTTTGTTTCCTTCATTGACCAAATCTTTCTGCAGAACCCTGTGGACCCAATGCTTATCAGTGTGGAAGTGGGGAATGTATACCCCTTGCTAACCTTTGTGACAAACAGTGGCAGTGTAAAGATGGCTCTGATGAAGCAGAGTGTGGTAAGTGTTTGTTTTCCTCGTACCCAAAGAGCAATACATGTATTTTCAATAATGATCATTTCTTTTATTTTTATTTTACTTTTTATTAAAGGAAATAACCATTCAAGAAAAAACAAATGTAAAGAGGCAGAACCTCTGCAGATGTAAATTGACATAGCTCCATTTATTTCAATGGAGCTGTGCCAATTTACATAAGCTGACGGTCTGGCTTGAAGTCCGAGAGAGAGAGGACAAAGTGAGTCAATTCTGTGACATTGCATCTAAACAGGCAAATATCCCTGTGAAAGCAGGGAGTGTCCTCAACACTTTAAGGTATAGGCTACTTAAAATACCAGGAGAATATCCTTTTTCAGTTGTATAGTTAATTCTACCACTGTAAGCAGGCAGATTTCTCTTCTAAGAAAACCTGTCTGACCACTGGTTACTGCAAAATGATTACTGCTTATAAACCACTGCTCCGATGCCTGACCCACAGAGCTTGCCTAGGCTCTGTCTCATACAGGTGTTGGAGCAGCATTATGACTGCTTTTCACAGCTGCTCACATGTGCAGGTTACCATGACAACAAGAGCAACAGCTGCTGTCATGCTACCATCAGTGAAGATAATAAAAAATTAACTGCACAGTACATGGTTTTGTTTCATGCAAAATGGGAATAATGGTTCCCAAATGACAATTTATATGCAAAAACTATGTTAAAATCATGTTGGGTCTGGCAAAAAATGAAATTGCTATTTCTGACAAAGTTCTGTAGACCACAAATGGGAACGTTTAAGGGTAGGCTTTTAGGCTCAGATACAAATTTGTTGCCTTTGGTTGGTTTAAGGAAAACTTGTAGGGCCAAGATATGACCATAGACGTGTGCTGTGTCCCATTGACTTAAACTGGAACTGTGTGCATGCATCCAAAAGCAGAATTTGATTCTTTCCATTATTTCAATGTGTTCTTTTTGAGTGTGAGAATGTCGTTGTCTTTTTTTTTTCTAATTTCCTAAAATAAACTGACCTGCAGCCTCTACCTACAGGAAAAGCTGTGAACATAATTATGTAGCTAAGAACAGCTGGAAAAGATTTTCAACCATTTATATTGCAGATTTAAAATATGGATAAAGCAGTCCTTTCCTGCCCTGTTATTATGTACTTAGTCCCAAAGAGATGTTTTTGGCACAGTTTGCTTTAACACCTTCTACTGAGTTAGACATCTAATGCTGAGTTAGCTGTTACCAAAACAAAGCAAAAAAACCCACAAGAACTGGCCCTATCCTCAGTCTAAGCCTCAAAAAGAAGTGAAAAGTTAACTAGCCCTCATTTAGTCTCCAAAATTTCTCCTAATTTTGATGAAACCCATTTCAAGATCTCAGCTGTTGCAATCAAGTTAAACTACCTGCTATCTTCAAATGCTCTAGTTCCTGGGGCTTCTCAAGGGTCAAAGTCAACATATTCTAAGGCCTCTCTCACCTAGAGAAGCTTGTTAATATATTGAACACTGAGAGTAGCAGTTGTTTGGGGTCCAGTATCAGAACTCCCTGCATCCTGTACCAACGTTACCAAAATAAGAGAATCTATTAAGTGTCATACATGAATCACGGATTACAGGGGCTTGTTGGATACGGGGGAAAGGGAATTGTTGTAGTTCATGGGAAGATAAAGAATTTCAAGGGGATATTCAAGGAGAAGAGAGGAATAGAGTCAAAAGGAAGGCAGAAAGATCTGATTGAGACAGAAGAGAGGGAAAGGGAGCTCTCCCAGTGCAGATGCCTCCAATGTTTTCCAGCCTTATCCAAGCTTCCTGACATTTTAGGTTTGCCAGTCACTAGTTACTATACATCATCACTGCCTTGTAATGATATATTTCACCAATATGAATACCAGAAGGTTCATACTTATACTAATTGCATACTAAAGAGGACATTCTCAAAGCTCTGCTGTGTGATGTTTTAGATACAGCCAGTCAGGAATATTTAGCAGATTTTTTTTTAAATGGAAAATGCGGTTTCTACATAATCAGAAATTTTCACAGGAAAATGTTGATTTTGTGTGGGGGGGAAAATGTTGATTTTTCCATTGGGAAAATTGAAATGTAATGGTTCATTTCAGGTCAGGCTGACAATAATTTTCATCTGCCTGAGCTTCAGCAGTGCCTGAGCAGAGTCATAGTTTGGAGTCTTCATGCTGTCCTTCTCCACTGGGGCAGGGCTGCTTAATCGGATTACAGCTCCTGTGAGCCTCCACAGCAGCCCATGGAGATGCAGTTTAATGTTGAACAAAACCAAAATGAAGCATTTCAACATTTGAATATTTTAACTTTTTGCTCTGTGAAAAAATTTGACATTTCAACTTTTAGTCCCAATTAACAATGAAGGCAAATGTTAAAATATCAGAATTTCTCATGGGATGAAAATTCCAATTTTCAGTCAGCTCTGGTTTTAACTTAATCTCCAATTGGTTTTAGTGAAAATTGGGTAGCTAAATCATTGTACACTAGTTTGAAAAAGAGGATGATACTGGCCAGGAAGGGGCCTTGGATAGATTGGTTGGAGCATTTGCTGCTTCAGCACATCAACTCAATAGCTTCCATTAACAAGATTCCTGAGATCCCCTGGCTGTAAACTAAAACTCTCTCCCATCTCAGAAATGCCAGAGGAAGTGGCAGTAGCATGCCTGCCTCCTGTTGGGTTGTATCACCTCTTGCGCAGAGGGTTCCTCATTGCTGCTAGGCTGTGCAATTTACACTTCCCTTTGCCAGCACCAGTGAATCTGTCTGTCTGTTATATTTCTAGTATTATAAGCCTAGCTGCCAATCCGTATGCCTGTTTTTGTCCACAGTGCGTCTGTTTAATGGTTCTCTAAGCATCAATGGATTGCTACAGTTCAGGATTGAGAATAATTGGTATATAGCATGTGCAGATTACTGGAGTGAGCAGATTTCAAATGAAGTTTGTCAACTGCTAGGACTAGGGTAAGTAATGTTATTTATGGTCTTTGTCAGCATCTCATTTACACATCTATTGCATATGGAACATGTTTTTGCTTCTCTAGCTGGTTTGAACAACTTCAGGATTGTCCAGAAAAGGAAGCATGCACTTATCTGTGGAGAATGACATTGTTTTGAGATCTGGAAAATATATATTAAAAAGATTACCCTTTGGATTTCCAGGTTTTAGCTGGATATAAAACACTGGAAAAACTAAAATACTGCCAGAGAGGCTGTCTTCAAGTTGTCTTTTTCTCACCTCACCAAAACCAGGAAATCCAGAAATCTCATGAGAAAAACTTTTTTTCCATGAGATTTCCAGCTTGATACCCAAATCTCTGTGGTATGGAAAATCTCTAACTGTTATATATAGCACTTTCTTGAAATTAACCTCCTGAGGCTTGATCATTCCAATATTCTTTATTGCAGCTGTCAAAAAAATTTCAGAGTAACAGCCGTGTTAGTCTGTATCTGCAAAAAGAACAGGAGTACTTGTGGCACCTTAGAGACTAACACATGTATTTGAGCATAAGCTTTCGTGGGCTACAGCCCACTTCATCAGATGCATAGAATGGAACATATAGTAAGAAGATGTATATACATACAGAGAACATGAAAAAGTGGAAGTAGCCATATCAACTATAAAAGGCTAATTAATTAAGATGAACTATTATCAGCAGGAGAAAAAGAAAGCTTTTGTAGTGATAATCAAGATGGCCCATTTTGGACAGTTGACAAGAAGGTGTGAGGAAACTTAACATGGGGAAATAGATTCAATATGTGTAATGACCCAGCCACTCCCAGTCTCTATTCAAACCCAAGTTAATGGTATCTAGTTTGCATATTAATTCAAGCTCAGCAGTTTCTCATTGGAGTCTGTTTTTGAAGCTTTTCTGTTGCAAAATTGCCACCTTTAAGTTTGTTACTGAGTGACTAGAGAGGTTGAAGTGTTCTCCTACTGATTTTTGAGTGTTATGATTCCTGATGTCAGATTTGTGTCCATTTATTCTTTTGGCCAAACCGGACAGTCTCTACCCAAAAGAATAAATGGACACAAATCTGACATGAGGAATTATAACATTAAAAAACTAATAGGAGAACTAGACTGGACAAAGTGCTACTGCTGTCAGCTAATTAAGTCACTTATTTAGCTCATTTAGTAGTGGTCTGTGTTTTATTCTGAAAGTCCTAGGCATAATTCTGAGTTCTGCTTTCAGCTCACATGGGGTCGATATATAAATAATGCATAAAAAATTAATTATGGACTTCAATGTGTGGCTCTGATTTAGTGCTTTGAAAATATTGACTAAGCCTCACAAAACATCAGTTTTACTTATTTTACAGAGGAAGAAATATAGGTTATGTGACTTGCCTACGTTCACATACCAAGCCAGTAGCAGAGCTGGGAACCCAGGTCTCTACCCGATTTTCAATCATCTTGCTTAGCCATTAGACATACTTCTTCTGAGAGTTCTGTCTGCTTTATAAATGAGACAAAGGCCATTTCAGTCTTTTATTCCTCAGTATGGTAGAACTGGCAGCATAATAAGAAATGATAAGTACTGTTGGGATATACCTTTTAATCAGTGTTAATGCTATGGACTCATTCAAATAAAATAACAAACCTTAATAAGTTAGTGAGGAGGAGTGGTGAAGATATTCCAAGTAACAGTCACCTCTGTTCTTCTCTGTAGAAACCTTAATCCATGCTCCCTGCCTTGGTAAGGTGAAATTTGAGCTACCATTGAGTGGGGGCCACTTCCTGGGCTCCAAGTGGTGGAGGGTCCTGTCATTGGATTCTGTCCCCTACCTCTGCAGGTTCCACTCTTACCTTCTGCGACTAAGGGATGGACAAAATATTAGGCCCCATTATCAAAATATTGGCTCTTCATCCTCCTTACTTCCCAAGAGCTATCACAGGACCCCAATAACTCCGGTGTCCATTTGTAATATACCAGTGTTCTGTGGAATAATGGCCCATCTTACTGTGCTCCTTTATGGTTATTTGGATGTGTAATGGTAGCTCTACAGTGGTTCTCAAAGCCAGTCCGCCGCTTGTTCAGGGAAAGCCCCTGGCAGGCCAGGCCGTCCGCCGGTTGAGCTGATCGCGGCTCCCACTGGCCGCGGTTCGCCACTCCAGACCAATGGGGGCTGCAGGAAGCGGTGTGGGCCGAGGGATGTGCTGGCTGCCACTTCCCGCTGTCCCAATTGGCCTGGAGTGGTGAACCTCAGCCAGTGGGAGGCGCAATCGGCTGAACCTGTAGATGCAGCAAGTAAAAAAACCAGCCTGGCCCGCCAGGGGCTTTCCCTGAACAAGTGGCGGACCGGCTTTGAGAACCACTGCTTTAGAACATTTTAAAACAGGTCATATTTGATTGAGGTTCAAGGCCAAATTCTTTGCCAATGTAAGTCCATTGACTTCATTGTGCAAGCAGAAAATTTGGCCTTTAGTCTGCTGGGAAATAGCTTATACATTCTAAATATAAAGACATATTGAAATTTTATGATTTGTAAAAAAATGTGAACATTTATTCTACTTTGATCAGCTATAGAGCTGTTTAAAAAGTCAAAATTGGAAATTGTAATGAAAAAGTGAAGAATTTTTCATGAAAACTTGTACTGTGACCTGACCAGCTCTAAAAATATCTAATTTTGCACTTGCACTTTTTTTTAAAAAAAAGCACCCTATGGCTAGAGAGGTTTTGCAAAAAACACTGGTTTTCGGGGGGGGACACCCACAGAAACACCAATAATGTAGTTTATGTCAGTGGTTCTCAAAGCAGGTCAGCTGCTTGTTCAGGGAAAGCCCCTGGTGGGCTGGACTGGTTTGTTTACCTGACGTGTCCAAAGGTTTGACCGATCGCAGCTCCCATTGGCCACAGTTCGCCGCTCCAGGCCAATGGGGGCTGCGGGAAAGGCAGCCAGCACATCCCTCGGCCCGCGCCGCTTCCCACAGCCCCCATTGGCCTGGAGCGGCAAACCGCAGCCAGTGGGAGTCGTGATCGGCCGAACTTGCAGACGCGGCAGGTAAACAAACTGGCCCAGCCCATCAGGGGCTTTCCCTGAACAAGCGGCGGACCGGCTTTGAGAACCACTGGTTTATGTGATCTGGCTGTTGCTTGGCAGAAGTGAACAAGAAAAGCAGTGATAATTTCAGCTATGTTAGAAAAACTGGGAGTAAGGGACAAAGAGGAGGAATAATTTCCTACATGGAAGAAGGCAGTCAGTAGGGAAATAAAATACTTATTTGTAAATGTTGAAAGGGATATTGTAAAGAAGGGGACATTTAAAAATGTAAACTCAATAGCGCAGTGGGGAGGGAAGAGAGGAGCCAGCAGCAGCTTCTCTTCTAAAGCAGGAACATCTTTTAAAAGAGTAAGCTTCAGCAATCAAGGTCCACAGGGAAACTTGGTGTCTGCCCACATCAACTTATTGCCTGAAGGAAAAAGACCAACCACTGATGAAAATAGAAAAGTCTGGCCTTCCCACAGTGGCAAAGAGGAGTAAGTCAGAGGACTGAGTGTTCTTACATTCAACTCCCTTGATAGTGACCTGAGGACAGTTTTTGTCTGGCATTAAACTTACAAGGGAAAAGAAGTTGAGCTCTTTCTTATCCCTGTATGTGTGACTTAATTAACTTCCTCAGTTATCCTCACTGCTTGAGAAGTTAGAAGATGGTCTCCTGAACTCTGTTCTTACTCTTTAAAGAGACCTACTGTAGCATAGTAAACTGAACTCGGGTAAGCTCTGACCTCCCCATCAAAGCTGTGTGTGGGTCCTGCTGTTGGGCAAATACTTCAGTAAAGTAGGCTGGACAGATTGAATAATAAAATCAAAGAAATTGGAGATGTATAAGACCTATTAGGTCATTTTGTCCATCCTCCTGCAAGTGCCAGATTGCTCCCTTCAGTATATTTTCTATTACTTTGTCCAGTCTAGTTTTATGACAAGAGTATTCCCCCAGTATTCCACAGTCTATCATAATTCATGGCCTATGTTCTCCTTTTCTTAATTTCATCCAAGAAGAGGATCTGTTCAGTGCTGCTGCCATAAAATGGGGACACAAACAAAATTTGGCCTATCACCTATAGCCCAGTGACTCTAAAATTACATATGGCTTAAATCAGTAGTATGTGAGATTCCCTGTGTGGTAAGATCCTGAAGGCATTGCTTTTTTAAACTTTCACCATTTACAGTGCAGTTTTATGTGCCATATTTTAGCATCATTTACACTAGGAGCAATTCTAGTGACATCACTGGTGCATCACTGAATAACCAGCACTATTTCTTGCAGCAGGCTGGTTTTCAGTGGATGTCACTCATCCAACTATTAAGTGAAATCTTAGCTTGTGAGATCTGACAAGAGTACAGCCTAAAGCTCCTTTGTGATAAATAAGCAAACTACAAAAATCAACCTAATCAGGAGCCCTTCAAGAAAATATTCAGGGTCTTATTTTTCATCATTAGCTAGGGTTACCATATCTCAAATAAAAAAAGAGGACCCTCCACGGGCCCTGGCCCCGCCCATTTCCCCACCCCTAGCCCTGCCCCAACTCCACCCCTTCCCCGCCCTAACTCCGCCCCCTCCTCCCTCTCACTCCCAGCCAGGGGGAAAGGGCTACCCCAGCGCTACCGGCTTCAGGGTTTGCCGGGCAGCCCCCAGACCCTGTGCCCCCAGCCAGCGCTTCCCCAGCGCAGCTGGAGCCCGGGAGGGGAAGCGCCCAGCCGGGGGTGCAGGGTCTGGAGGCTGCCCGGCAAACCGTGAAGCCG